ACGGATTCGAAATAATTTATTGTATAGAGTTAATTATCAGATAAGGAATAATTAAAGCAAACACTACACTGGCATATTGAAACAACAATAATTAAAGCAAACACTACACTGGCATATTGAAACAACAATAATTAAAGCAAACACTACACTGGCATATTGAAACAACAATAATTAAAGCAAACACTACACTGGCATATTGAAACAACAATAATTAAAGCAAACACAACACTGACAAATACTTCATTGAAATTAATTATCAAACAGTTCTGCCTCCAACTTTTTCAACAGCTGGTTCTTCCGGTCATCTAGATGCTCTTCGGAAGTTAGCTTTAGATACATCTTCATTTTCTTGGTTTTAGTCTTCTCCAAGGCTATATTGTTAGCCTGCTGTTGCATCAACGCTATGTTGTCCAATCGTTCAAGCTCTTTCGTCTTGAATTCTTTGTATTCAGCCCATTCTTTGTCCACCACCTCCGAGGCATATTCCTTGCTTTTCTTTTTACCCTTTTTTTAGCTGCCTCCCTTCCTATAGGACGAGCACTGGATTCTACAGTGTTTGAGCCACATGCATCACTCTCGCGAGATCTCTTAGATCCACTACTTCCTGAGCCAATATTTCCTCCTACTTGACTACCATAACGTGGTTGATCACGGAGAGCGTGCCATTCTTCCATTAAAGTGAATTTAACATTCTTCCCACATGCATATAATTCCTGCGCTTTTGCCAAAACATCATTCTCCGACCAACCACTTCCTTGCATACGCTTAGCGCCATCATAAGCGCCAATCCATTTACCCAACACTTTGTTCATATAATTAAAACGGTTTCGGCATGCAGGTCCATCACGCGGAGGATCGAATGAGCAATGCTCATTACAATACTCAGCAATTTTACCCCAATATGTTTCACCTTTCTGGTTTCTCCCGACAACACTGCTTGTTCCAAATTTAATCCACCCACTAATTAGAACCAAATTTTGTTCAGTGTTCCATGCTGGTTGCTGAGTTTTCCTGCTCTTAGGAGTTGAATCCTCTGAATTCGGACCGACTTCATTAGAAACAATCATGCCACCAATAGTTAGTTGTGTTGAAAACTCGGGAAATTCAGGTACACCACCACTTGGAAAATTTGCATTCGCCATTGTCACATAACCATTAAACGGGGGTGTTTGAGATGGATTTCTCGGCATAGATCCATAATATGTTTGAAAGTTTGGAACAGAGGATGTCTGGTTGAAATTTGGTGGAAAACCAAAATTAGGTATGTTTTGAGGATGTTGGTTGGAAAATTGATTTGGATTTTGATAATAGTTGGGATTTTGATAATTGTTGGGATTTGGAAAATTGTTGGGATTTTGGTTAAATGGAAAATTAGCAGAATTTTGAGTGTTAAAATGATTATTGGGATCCATTTCACTAAAAAAAGACACTTAACTTCAAAATAAACACTAATAATAAAATTAAGATAGTGAAAAACTTAGTTTTTTTTTGTGTCCAAATCAAATGAACCAAGTCTCTATTTATAGAGAAAAAAAAATCATGAATTTTGGTAAAAATAAAAAATAAAAATAATTTGCAACGAAATAATTGAGTTCAAACTATTAAATGGATAAAAATCTGGTCAGCCAATCAAGCACAGCCACGTGGCTGCACTTATCCCTTTTCTCTTTCTCTCTCCGCGTGGATTAAGACCCACTCTCACCCCCAGCGAGTGGGCTACACGCGCCTGGCCCAGACCAATGAGGCGCTGCCACGTCATGCCCTTGGTCAGCTTCAATTGTGTTGAGTTTTCTCAACACCTCTCTCTTCCAACACACACTCAACACCTCTCTCAACACCCATTGGAGGAGATTTTGCATGTTGAGTTCAAACTCAACATACCCATTGCACATGGTCTTATAATCATTATCCTTATGGATGAGTGCTAACAGTCGTGTAGTCCCTGACTTTTGTGATGAGCCGCAATTTTGTACACGGCATTAGTATTTCGGAAACAAAAATTGTCTTGAGGCAAAAAGTATGATTTTTTTTAAAATAATGATTATTTATAGCAACAGTAATTTTATGTTTTGTAAAATCAAAATCCTTCAAAAATAAAGTTGATAAATTCTCCTCAGTGATTCATAATGCTGTTGTTTCGTTCTCAAGAGCTTGGAAAGATCGCTTTCGGAACAAACTGCACTGCTATATAGCTGACATTTTAACAAATATACAATTTAATGCTGCAAGACTAACTAGCTAACTAATTTCGCTATTTTCTCCTCTTTCTCCAAGTCAAAATCAAGAGTATGATTAGCTGTATTGTGTTCTACAAAGACTTTGAAAGAACTAAACCGGTGTCAAATATCAAACATTGCAAGTTCTAAACTTTGATTGTTGATCTCTTTAATGGAAACATAAATAGGGAATTCTCATTTTTCCAAGTCATTCTTTTGCCATTCGGCATGTTAAAATAAGCATGATTGCAAAGGTAGCCACTTCAACTGTGTCAACAAATATTCTACTGTTCTTTGCATTTCATGACAGTAGCCAGATTCATATTATCTAAATATCCTGGTCTAAAATATAACAAAGTGTAAAGCAAAAGAAAATACTACAGCACTGCAACTATACAATAAACTTGAAACATTGACCTTCAAAAATTAGCAAAGAATGAATGATAGAAGAGAAATCACATCCATAATATCCTAAAGTTAACATCTAATCAAACAGATACATTGACATACTCTATGCATTCACAAATATAATGTTGGTTGAAAGGACTTCTACTTGAACAAAACTTAAACCATCAGCAACACCGGCAAGTTGTAACATCAGAGCATGTGTATTGCCTTGACTTTTCCTCTATCTCTTGCGGTGTAGGTATTGGTTCAAAACTGTATGAGCAGCAGAAGCTGTATATATTTTTGCAAACTCCTTTACTAAAAGGGTGTACTCTTTCTGGAATTGCCCTGCAGATTAATATAATGTAATGTGCTTAACATAGATATCCGGAAAACAGACATCTAACCATTTACAATCAACATTCACATATAACTGAAACAAAGCAATGTAACAACCACAAAACAGAATTGCATTCCTCAAAATACTGTCTTTAGATGATTAGGTTAAAAATATGAAATAATACAAGAACATAAGGGGATTACTTATCTAACCTTAGATAAGAAATTCGTCTTCTCCTTACAAGTTCATAGGTAGTCTGATTGGTCAGAATTAGATAACTGCAAAAAGACAAATAACAGTGATGCTCTTACTGCGTTGTACCAAGATGCTCAACTATAAAGTCAACACCATGGAGATGATGTGACAGAGTATAAGAGGGGAAGAACAATGTTGATATTTTACTTCACATATGGTTATGTTGACAAATTGAACTCCTAATATTTAGATTAGATGCAAATGGTAGCAAACTCGTTCCACGACTTATAAACCAAGAGGTCATTCTGCTATACATCCTTTTTTCAAACACTTAGTACACTTTTTCTAGCAATGGCTTCTAAAATTTGATTCACAAAACCTCCCAAATAAAAATCAGGATAATTGAATTTAAGTTAAACTCCTTGAAATTAATATTTTATGGTACAGAGATAGATTCATTTAGCCTTCATATTAGATAAAACACATGGTTTCTTGATCATGCTACATCAAGGTGATGCAAGATATATAAGTGTAATCTGATGCAAGATACATAATTATATTATAAATAATTACAAGTATTACCTATGAAATAGCAGTAGGAGAAGCAGAAAGATAAGGGAAATTGACAGAGCAATCAAGAGTAGTATCATGATGGCATCCTGCCACCTGACAGCCAAAAAAATTGAGCATCCAATTTCAGATTACAGAATGAACAGATAGAAGGAGGATTGGGTTTTCTGTCTTTGGATTTTGGCAGACTTCATAATTCATAATAAAGTACACGAGGAATTCATAATTCATAATAAAGTACAAGAGAAATGCAAACAACATATTCTCCATCAAAGTATCATGATGTGAATTTCATGTGAATCTCACTAAGCAAAAAGCCCCGGTTTTCTAGTAGACCAACAAGAAACTCAACCAATAACAAAAAATATGATAAAAAAATATTATACAAAGGACATGTTCCTGTTAGAATAGAAAAAGTATACAATCATCACCAATATTAGTTTATCTGTTTTTTATCCCTAATGACCACCAGCTGAAGCCGGTAACATTACATTGGTGTCAAGAGAAAGTAAGCCTTAGCAAAAAGGTCGGGTCAGAATCATCATATACACTCGTGAAGGTATGACCACAGATCCCCACCCACCCGAACTCCTGATATATATTTCAATTTTCTGAAGGGAGGATTTGACTAATAAAGATTTTCCATCATTTTAATTTTAGAGTCTATGAGTTTTAACATTCATCCTAAATCAATCTAAAGAAATCATACCAAACCATTGTAATGTGAGCCATCAGGTGTGAAAGATACAAGAAGCCAGTCCAGATGCACACTGCCGTCTCTTCACAAAGGTACCACCTAAAGTATTTTGACAGAAAGGAGGAAAATTTGTAGCAAAAAAAAAGTCAGTGAAGATGCAAAGGAAAATATAAAATTGTTGTTATATGGAGAACATAAGCTAAAATTCCCATTCATCATTTTTATAAGTATTCGAGTAAAGTTGTTAAATAGTACATTAAGGAGCTCTCAAACACACACATACATATATATGTTGCTTAAAACCATCTGTAAATATTAATCCGGATAGTACTTAGTTGAACATATAACTCAATCGGAAAATAAAAGCACATATATCGTAAAAATAAATAAATGAATAGTGCAAGGATAACATGCTCAAGATACTTCTAAGTTTATCAAACTCAATTCTTTTTTTTTTTTAAGAAAATGAATAGTGATGCATATTGCAACTAGAAAATTAGAATCATGAAACAAACAAAAGATACTACTGATAATTTGTGGTGAACAGATGCATTTCCAGAACATTTATACTTCAGCCAAATATCGCTAGTAATAGTTTAAAAAATATCATCAAGCTAGTATTGCATTTTAGGTAAAAACGAAATTTCATATCTCAATATTATTGACTCACCAAAACTGGCAATGATTACCCTGGCCAATGCAATTTCCAAGCCAAACACAGTGATGATCAAACTGAAGAACACATTTGTCACAATCATGACAATGTTTTGCCCGTGGAGGCTGCATAATGTTCACCAACAAAATAATTGAGCATCAAATCAAGAGGATAAATTATTAGAACACAAAATTGTATCGAAAGGATACGTGTCCAGTATTCATAGTAAAAAAAAAAAAAGAACTCCTAATGTGCTCAAAGTAATGAATAGAACATAGGGAAAAAGCTATTTGTAAAGTGAAGTACAATACATCATTTAGATTTTGATAGAAATATTGCTTTCTCGTGCCTATGCTATAAGTATGCAACCCAGCATGACAAATTTGACAAATTCATGCTTATATGCTACTGTGTTTAATATATGTACAAAATGAATGAGTACTTAAACCATCAAACAAATGCCACACTATCACTGAAATATGCATTGAAGAAGCAATACAAAAATTACTTATCAAAATCATGACATAATACAAATTAAATTACATATCACTATTTATAATACCTGCTCCACGTTGCAGTACGTGCACGTCCATGTTCTGCAAGGAAATAATTATTCATAAAACTTAAATTGACAGTGTACAGAATCAGAGATCTAATAGATAGATGTTTACCTGACTGTTGATCCAGGAGGATGCAATTCGGCCACCAACTTTGACCAATATGTTGCATTACTTCCTGCAACAGTTCTTCCAGGCTGACTCCCCTCGATGGAAATTACAACACTCCCATTTTTGCTTGAAGCTGGTTGACTTTGCTTAAGCATTAAGAATTTGAAAATAAATAGTTAGATGAGAACTTACTTCATGTGTTATCAGATTCTTATTTAAATGATCAATTTTAGAATGGGAAAGGATGGTTTTTTACTTTGATGATTCCGGTTTCTTTGTGTGTACTACATTTCTCTTATTAAAGTTCTTCATGACATCAACGACATAACTGTACATTAAAGAGTAGCAGAGGAAAATAAATCACACCAGGAAGATATAAATTTATTTCACCATAAGGATTTCAAAAAACACTGTTTCTCATCACAATCAAAATTCATTTCACCATAAAGAAATAAATTGTTTTATTACCCTGGATTGGAAATAGATATAGCATAGTATTGTCCTAAAGTAACAACAAACAGCAGCAAGTATAAAGCAGTGAACCTGAAACAAAATCAAGTAAAAAATAGAAAGTAAGATTATTAAGCAGTAATCTAAAACGACTTGGAAGCACTAAATGATACTCCCTCCGTTTGTTAGAAAGGTTAGAGAAGTTAGTTAGAGTTCTCATTTCAGGGTGTAACTAACTTTTGATTATTGGAATTGTTAATTACAATTGACAACATTAGTTACTTTATCAGCAGGTAAAGATTACACTAAAGCTGACAGTTGTCAGTCTTGAGGCTAAACTAGTTCTAAGATAACCTTCTCTAACTCTTACACTAATACTGTTTCATAATGAGTGTCGTTTAAATTTTTTGCACACATATTAAAGAAGGTAATAAAGTTGTCAAAAGATATTATATTTTTACTAAATTAACCTTATTAATGTGTTTGAAGTGGTGTAGTAATAATTAAATGACACAATTGAAAAAATAGAATCATTTCTACATTAAAAAATGAGAAGACATTCATTTTGAAAAAAAAAAATTACTTGCTAAAACAACATTGATTTTGAAACAGAGGGAATATGTTCATAATATTATATTAAACTGTAACTTTCCTTGGTTTCTAAGGATCAATTTACAAGTGATAGAATTTATTCAGACTTCAGCACGCTGCTCATATTACTTAACAGAAGCGAGGAAAGAATATGCTGCATAATGTCCTTCTCAAAAGGATCATTGTCACTAGTTTCTTCAGGTGAAACAATAAACAACTAACAGACTCATTATAGAAATAATCTTGATTTCTTCACTTGTATACCAAGTTGTGATTTCTTCACTTGTATACCAAGTTGTTAGAATTTTATAATAAAAATAATTTTTTTTAAAATAAGCATATTAAAAATAAAAATGATTGTGTTTAAGAATTCATTGCATGCCAGTTTAAGGTGTGTTTTGGACTAGCTCAAGTACATAATCAGTTAAACTAAAATCAAATTTGGATTGATTTTTCGCTTACAAGAGCTTTTAACTTAATATATTTATTACTTGTAAGCTTGTAGAGATATTCATGGACATATTAAATGAGATTCTGAAGAAAAGATGCATAAAAACTCATAGTCAGTTACAAGATTTCTCTTAATATTTTCTTTTTCACAAGCATTCCCACTAAAAAACTGCAACCTAATCAACAAAATCCAGAAAATGCCGCTTCAATTTATCCAAAAAAATTGGCACAGTGTGTTCTATTACAAAACACAGTGAGGTAAGGGAAAACCTACCATGGTTCTTTCTTAGTCTTCTCAACCAAATCTCCATCAAATAAGAAAAGAACACCGGCATAAATCAGATGGGTCAAGAGCAAGACCAGCTTCAAGCACGACGAAGACCTTTGAGCTAAAATTCAAGTTCCCAAATTCATCAATTAAACAAACAACTACACCACAAAGATTCAAGTAAAACGAAATTCATAGTAGTAGCATTTCACCGCTTAAAATGAAAACCCTAATAACAAGTAAATCAAACAGAAGAAACAACAAATCGAGTGATAATTGAAATGCACCGGGATCAGAGAGGCAGGGAAAACTACGGAAGCAGAGATCCATTGTTTGATCGACGACGGTCATCGACGGTGGCAGGAACGGATTCGCATCGGAGATGAGAGAGTGTGCGTGGTTGTTTATTTCCCGGGAAAATGAATTTCTCAGTTGAACGAAATTTTCTCGAGAAAATGAACGAGTCGAAGCTGTTAATTTAACTGTTTATCTCAAAAATTCCATAGAGTGGGTGCGCAGTGCGCATCATGAGCGTGATTTAGCATAAACTATCGGTCTAGGTTGAGAAAAAGCCAGATGATTGATGAGTTGAACTGGTAAATGACTGTTAGTTGTTACCTAATAAATGCATAAATGATTTTTTTTTTTAATTTCTTAACTGACAAATTGATTTTTTTTATGCACCACGTGAATTTTCATAAATGTTCTTTAAAATTGGATATATATTTTCGGTGTGCATCAAGATCAGAAAAGTATATATAAGAATCGGAAATTTAATTACAGTCTAGAATTGGAGGTATAATTCTGGTTGTATTCTTCACAGAAACCAGAAAACAATATTGAATAGCATCAATAATCTCACAATATATTTCATAACATAAACATAAAAAATACATTTAGGAGTTAAACATAAATCAAATATTACAAATCAACGTCTAGGTGGACGTTGCAACATCATGATAATATCATCGATCGGTCTTGTTAGAGTCGCATCTAGCTCGATCAGAACTTTCTTCTCAAAACTGTCAAAAATATTCCACATGGCCCGTAAATCAGCGTCGTTCTTCAGCTCACGGTTAATGAACTCAAGCTTCTCATCTTTGTTAACTGATGGCGAGCGGTACTCGATCTTCACTACCTTGCGATTATCGCCGTAAGATACAAGATCCTGTAATATTTCACGCACATCTTCAATAGGGATGTACACGGTGAACTTAAATTCGCGAGATAGTGTAGCTGTTTACAGTGATTTCTGGTAAACAACCGCTAGTCCTCCAAACTATCGAATAATCTTAATGACTGTTATTCAATCTCTCTGGTAACTCGCAGGATCGACTAGATTGATCCTAGGATGTATTGGTCATTTGGATAACTCTCATTATAGAACTGGTATTCATGGTTGGTATTTAGAATGTTGTGTAGGTGTTTAACTTATTTCGATTACTCTATTAAAGATCTAATAACTTGATCAAGTAAATGCGCGCGAAACTAAATTGCATGAATAAAGTTCAATTGTAAAGACATGTAAAACTGTAGAAAAGACAAGTAAATGACTTCGAAGCATAAAAACATGTAACGTAAAAGATTCTCTGGAAGGTAAAAGATTTGAAATATGAAGAAAGCGTTTAAATGCAAGAAAACAGTAAAATGACTTTAAGTGAAAAAAGGTGTTCGAATGATAAAAGCTTGAAGATAAAGGCATGAAATGTGCAAAAGTTTCTGAAATATAAAGTATTTGAAATGGAAAGAAAACATTTAAATGTAAGGCATCAGTAAAAAGACTTCGAATGAAAATATTTTAATGTAAAGGCTTTTGAATGGTATTGACATGAAGATAGAGGAAAATACTGGAAATGATAAAGAGTTTTATTAAATCATAAACACTTGGTGTTATCATACGTACATTGCTCGTGCATTCGTTTCCATAGCCATGTGGTATTTTGAATGTTTACTGAGTTTTTTGTACAATAGATATGACACCCGAAATCCTAATGCTAAGACTTCTATTTATACTACTTCGACCATAACGGTCTTGCTATAAGATTCTGCCACGTTCAGAACATGCAAAGCAATGCCTCTCTCTAGCTTCCACGCGTCTTCGAATGCTCCAGCGCATATATTTTAAATTTCGAACATCCCGCTTGCATTTGAATTTCAAATGTTTCGGCACTTCTTCGCTTCGAACGCATTTCTTGGACACAGCCTTGTTATCATTTCGAGACTTCTTTGAATATATCCTCATAACTGTCACTCGAAGCTCTAAGCTTTGATATGCCCATTCAAAGCACTGCTTCTACCATTTCGAAACATGACATCTTGCTTTATTCCAATCGAAACGTCCAATTTGCTTCGCTTCTAATAATATCATCAAAATCTTCAGCCAACAAAATGCCCCTTTAAAATATGTATTTCGATTCCTTTGAGAAATACTTATTTTAAACATATACACAAGATTTTGATGTGACCTTCGAATCATCGTAACATTTATTGTATATGACTCCAGTCACGTCAATCACAACGCTTTTCAGATTCCTTAACCGCCTTGAACCATTTCACAGCATGGTGCAGTTACAAAACAATGATTATCATTTAATCACGCTGTGATACGGTGGGAGAACTGACTAGGGTTTTACGTTTGTTTTCGCAAATGTTTCGGTTGAGCAAGAGTCGCCACCGACTTTTTATTTTATCCTAAGGAAAGGTTTAAAAAGCACAGCAAAAACCTTTGAGATTTTTCTTGGGTTCGGGGAGTAGGTTATAGAAGGGGAAGGTATTAGCACCCCTTCTATCCATGGTTATCCATGGGCTCTTAGGTACTTGCTTAGATCAACTTGCCTTGGTTTTCAATTGTTTGAAATGGTGCTTTGTGTGTGGTTTTGAAAATGTTTTGAAAAGATGCCTTGTGCTAGGCTAACCTTGTAACAATTCTTTACTCGAATGTTTTACAAAAGGTGTTTTATCTTTTAAAAAGATGTTTCAAGGGTTTGAAAAGTTGATTTTGAAAGTGCTTGTGAAGTGAGTTTTGAAATTAGGCAAGTTTTTTTTTTTGGCAAATTGACAAGTACTTAAGAGTTTATCTACCCTAAAGTTTTCTCAAAGATTTTTGTTATGTTTTTAAACCTTTTGACAATTTTGTTCCACCATTGCATTTGGTGGACAATCTTGTCTTAGGAGATGAAAGGGACAGGCGCGGGTCATCGTTTGGACCATAATTGCAACGGCGTTAAATGTCTTTGGGCAATTTTCTTTAAGGGACTTGATCATTTGTTTTTGTTTTGTTTTGAAAAGTTTTATCGAGGGACTATGATCATTCAATTTGTTTGCTTTGCCCAAAGAAATTCAACATACAACATGGCCCATTTATTTGAAGGCAACAAAGTGGAGTACCCTAGGGGTGCTAGTGTGAGATGTGTTGTTTATTTTCATGCTCATTCATCTTGTATTAGGTCAAACTATTTTTTGTCGTTTTTTCGCATGCAAACCCTAATTCTAACATGGCATAATTAGAAAGCTTATAAAGTGCGAAATTTAAATTCCTACGCTATTACAACATAATAACATAGGGAGGGGGGTACAAATTTACAAATGGGGGATATTTAGACAAGAATTTAAATCTAAATTATTACATCATTTTTTGAATATTTGCAAGGTAAATAAATTACATAATTAAATGGAAATGAAGTAAATATGCAAAATGCAAAAAGAAAGTTTTTATATGTATGAAAAAAAACATTGTTTATGTAAAATAAAATAAGAAAATAAAAAGGTATTATTTTTGAGTATTTTCGACTTTTAGGGCAAACCCTAATTTTAATCAAAATGAATATCAATTAATTAATCCACATAATCTTTATTATTTACATACCAAAATAAATAAAACATGGTATATTTGTAAAAAAGGTCATTTTTTAGTGTTAAATATTAAAAATAAAATATATATATTTTTTGGCATTTTTACTCTAAGTATATTAATATATATATAGGTATATTTATATTATTTTAAATATGTATTATATACAAATAATAATAATAATAATAAAAATTTCTAGAAAATAGTATTTTTTACATAAAATATTTTCAGAGGGTAAATAAAAATGAAAATGAAAATGTATTTACACCATTTTCCATTTATTCTAAATGATAATATATATTTATTTATGTATAAATCAAAAGAGAATCAAATAAATACCAAATAAAATCAAAAAATGATGAGAAAAATATTTTCAAAAATTTAATGTGCTGAGAAAAAATAAACAAGTCAAACAAAAAAAGAAAAAGTCAAAAAGAATTAAAAATAAGGCAAATGGGCTTGGGGGTGTGAAACAGAAAAAATGGTGTGGATAGCAAAATGATACAGGCCCAGCCCAATCCACTTCTTCTTCAACCTTTGGCCAAAAACGCGCGCCTTGTTACAGAGATTCAAACATCCTGATTCTTTGAGATTTTGCACAAACTTTCAACACAAAACATGTCAAGCATTGAATCATGATTCCAAATATATAAAAAACTCATCCTAACTCTCAGAAATGAGAGAGAATTTTATCAATCCCAAATCATGACCTAAACTTTCTGCCATTTTCAAAGCTTAAATTCTCTCAACTCAGGCAAAAGAAATGAAATGTAAAGCTATGTACATGCTCAGGGCTATGAATAGAACCTTGTTTCTTCACAAACTTAAGACTAAAGATGCATAATAAGAGAGATACGAGTTCAAAATTTTACCTATTCAGTTGAACTTCTATCTGGAGAATGAGGAACTTTCAGTGCAAGGTGATGATTGGAAAAGCTTCCTTGAGGTCCAGGGATGTTATTCCAATGTTTACTTTGTCTTGAAAACTTCTGAATCAAGCTGTAGAACTTCACCTGCAAGTCAAAGATGTGAAAATGGTGGAGGTGGTTAGAGCAATTACAGATCGTGCCTTAGCTTCTGGATAGCTTGCATAGGTTGTAAGTAAGGTAGAGGAACAAGTTTGGGCCAGAAAGCTTGAAGGGATTGAGAGATGGCACTCAATCTGCAGGGCTTGCTCTGTTTGAGCAGTTTGATGGTGTTTCTGAGATGGAGAGTGTTTGAGGGGTCAAGGATTCGTGCAAAAGCTTGGTTGGGATGTTTTGAATGTGTCCACAATATTTGCTTTCTTGTTCTAAGGCTGAGATGGAAGTTGCTACCAGTTATGGAACTTTTCTTCTTTCTTAAGCAACAAAAGCAAGTTGACTTTCTAGGCATGTAGGGGGCCTCATAATGTGCTGCATAATCTTCTCTTGATCAGAGCAATTTGTCCATAATCTTGTGCCAAAAGGATTTAGCTTGTACTTGTTGGATTTCTAAATTGACATAAAGTGAACTTTTACCA